GAAGAGCGTGCATTACTTGGGGGTAGATACACTATGGGATTATAGGAAACGTTGCATTTGTTGTTATGATGGACTGTGTTCTCAAGTGTATAAGTATTTCTACTTTTTACTTCATTTACAGTAAAAGATGATTAGTTTTAAAGGATTATTTTCTGGGATAGGCATGTGGTAAGTCACTCTACTACCTGTACAGTGTTTCAATTCTCTATTTCAACCAGAATGAGTGTAATGGGCCACCTCTGTTATGTTCAGCCTTTGATTGGTCATTTACTTTTACCAAGTTCATTAAATTGATATAAAAACTTAATACTGCTTTTTAAAAAAATGTTTATAGTGCTTGGAAATTGCTATTTTTTTATTTATTTATTTTTTAATTGCAGTCTGTGATAACATCTTGCTTTTAAAAAATAGTTTTTGAAAAGCTTATTTTAATAACTGATCTCTGGTTCCAGGATAAAGAATGGAAGTTTTCCTACTTACCTTCATTGAGGCTAGAGTTTCATTTACTGTGAACATATGAACCATTTTGATTCTTTACCAATATTTTAAAGCACAAGTATATACACTTAACAGTGAAGCAGTATTTTCACTTTATCTCATGATATTTTAAAGTGGTTTGTTTGACCTCTAGTGTTGAGCTATGAAATTGCACCCCACTGACACAAAAATTATCTTCTTTTTTCAGAAAAACCGGTCTCCCCCAAATCAGGTACATTGAAGAGTCCACCTAAAGGCTTTGATACATCTGCAATTAACAAAAGTTATTACAATGTGGTGAGTGATCCTTTTTCCTCCATCTCAGCTGTTACACACAGTAGAACGTCATTCAAGTAAATGCTCTTATCTGCACCAAAAATTTGGCAGTCTTGTCAGAGCCTTAGTGCCAAAACTAGTTAGGGGTTTTAGTGAATTCTCATATAAACAAGATCATTATTGGTTTAATAGAATATCACATATACTGATTCTTCAGCATCATGCAAAATTATAGTCTAAAGTAAGTGAGTATTAGGCATTTCTGTAATTATGTGCATTTTATTTGCTAGTTTTTAATTTCCTTTTTCTCCCACATCCCCTGAATATACAGTCTATAGTCTTCCCCACTCTATATGAATTAGTGAAATTTTACTGTATTAAAGGGATTAAGACTTTTTTTGTCTTATTTTCTTGAACCAGAGATTGAACATTTGAATGAATTTGCCTTCTTTATGTTTCTTCTTATAAATCAGCTTTAGGAACCTCTCCCTTACAGTGATGAATAGCTTTCACAACAAAAGCAGTATAGCCAGAGTCAGCCTGGCTGATACAACCCCAGGAATTCTTAACCCAATACTCAGACCTCATTAGTAGATGCATGTAAGAAACAAACCAAACTGTATTTAAATGTGTTGTTGTAACCATTTTGAGAGTCTTTTATTTACTAACAGTAGATACACTGGGAAGCAAAAAGCATCTTACTGTTTTTGTTAACCACTGCTCCCTGCTGGTGTAAAAGCAAAACATAAGGTGTCTTTCTCTTTTCTTTAAAGCAGCTGTCATTGTTTTTAATTTTGTCATTTTTTAGCGGTGGATCATAAAGCATCATTTTATGCTTTCATCTTCTGTGGTTGTGACATAAATAGCACCAACCACCTGGAAGAAGAGAGCAGTTTTGCATATAGCCCACTAATTGAAAACAATGAAACAAACTCCTGCTTCTCTCCCCTGGCTTGCCTGGTGCCTCTGTGGGTAGCCATCATTTCATGGTAAAGGGAGGATTGTAGTACTTAGGCTATTGTATCCCACACCTGCTAGTCACAGTGGGAAGTATTTGCGCAGGCACACCTTCCCTCAAACTGCAGGAAGTAATGATGTAACTGTGGTACATCCAGCAACAAAATGTGAGATAACTTTTTTTTTTCACTTTATCTCTTTATAGTAGTTTTGTCAAAGCTGCTGTTGTGTGTAGCAGCAAGTATGTCTTATCTTTTAGTGCTTTGTTGTCAAAATCAACTTTTTTCAATACAGGTAAACTGAAGTGAATGCATCAAGGAGGGGTTTAGTTCCTTCACTAGGCAGAAGATGGCTTTTAGTTAAGTTTAATTGATATCTATGTTGAACAGGTTGCCCAGAGAGGTTGTGGATGCCCCCTCCCTGGAGGTGTTCAAGGCCAGGTTGGATGGGGCTTTGTGCAACCTGGTCTAGTGGAAGGGGTCCCTGCCCTTTGGGGGGGGGGGATTTGACTAGATGGTCTTCTAGGTCCCTTCCAGCCTGAACCATTCTATGATTCTAACTTGAATCAAAATAAATTGGCAGGTCTCTTCAACGCCAGTCCTTTAGATTTGGGTCAGTTTTGGTTTTGTTGGGGCGTTTTTGCCTTTTTTTTGAAGTCAGCAGCAAATACATTTCTCATATATAATCTTATTTTGTTATTTCCCTGATAGATCTTCTTATGGTGAAAAGTAAGAGTTGCAGCTGTTTTATTTAGACTTAACTAAGACTTCAGATTAAGTGTGTCCAAAATCAATTGAATCTTGTGGTTGGGTGTTTTACTTTGTAAGAGTAATACAGGCCATTCTGGGGACTGATAGTGTACTTCAGTGAAAAAAATAGGGTGTAAATGTTTGTATTTGTGTAAAACTGTAGTTAGGACTGCTAAGTTATAAAAGGCCATACAGTTTTGAAGTATAACCTTTGGATTGTGTGCTTTTTATAATTGTTCCCGGGGTAATCTATTATCATAATAATGGAGACTTAAGCTACTAAATACTTTAAAAAACAGATAACTGTAGCTGGCTTTTGAAGTAGGACTGCTAGCTGTTTCATTAACTGTGGGTGATATATTGGGATGGGAGGGAATGACCAGTTCATATTAATAAATATAGTAAATTAGAGCACATGCCCTAGAGTGCTGTTCTTAAATGTATCCAGTGAATTGGATAATTGTTTCCACATTTTTCCACAGAATGGCAGATAGCTCCAGGTTGTTTGTTTGTGTTTGTTTTTTTTAACATCACCATTTTATTCCTTTTTGTTTAAAGAGTGAGGGGTTATTTTGGAGAAGTAAGACTTTACTGCTGTACTAAAACCTAAACTAGACTAGCTAACATCTAGATTTTCTTGAAAAAACACTAAGTGCTTCCTGTGGCAACATAACTATGAAATAATCTTTAATAATTATTAAATATGTAATGATTTTTACATGAAAGTAAGACAAACAGCAAACCCATTCTCTGAAGTGAAAGCAGTTTCATTTGTGAGTTGACTTTTTGTTCTGTCTTTGAAAGTAACCTGCAGGTGTGGAATTTGCCTGTACTAGCAGTCTGGTTATCAGTATGCACTGATAACAAAATCGAGCCCATTCTATGGTAACAACAGAACAGCTCCACCTTTGACAACTGGTAGCTAAAAGAATGTGGTCTAAGTTTAAGAGTAAGCATTAAATCTGTGTTAGAGACTCTCTTTAACAACCAAGCATGGTTTGAGACTGGTAGTCTGGGGCTGCTTGCTATTTTTATGTTGAAGCTATCCTCCCCCATACAGGTATATGCTGAGACCCTGCAAATGTTGTGATGGTTTATTGCAGTTTTTCCTAGGGAAAGATTTGTGCAGGTAGCACCTGTGGGTGCATTTGTTGCATTGAGGACAAAATCAAAAGGTGGCTCAGAGGAAGTTAAGAAAGTGATAGGAAAGGCTCTGATCTGAGAGGAGGACTGGAATAGGATAAAGGAAAGGTGCTTCATGTATAGAGGAGCTTGCTTTCACTGCTTTCCTCTGTTCTTCACCCCTTTGTAAATGTGCTTTTTATTTTTGTGGATTTACACAGCTACAACTGAAGTTCGTAACACAAGCCACGTACCTTTCAGTCTCAGTGTGCTTTATTAGTTGTGCCTTGCACTAGGTGTTGCTGAGTAGACAGCACGTTGGGTTTATGCTTACATTTTTGCCTGGCTCAGGAATGCAGGTTAGTAGAGAATGGCTAGTGCTACAAGGTCTTGTCCTCCATGAAATGGTAAAAATCTGCAGCGGTGTGTAATACGAACCAGACTTGTGATCGAGCATGAGGTATTTTTCATGTAGAAGTAGTTTAGTAACTTGTTACTGAAGAGGTGGGCATATTACTGCAGGTTATTCCCTGGAGACAGGCATTACGCTGAGTTTTATTTTTACTTGTTAATCCCTAGAGGATTAAAAAATTTATGTCCACAATAAAATTGTTATCTCTGCTTAGAGGACAGTTGTCTTGAGATTAAGTAGCTGTTCTAAAGCAGGCAAATAAATAGGCAATTTTCTCCATAGGATGAGTTTTTAATTTATGTGCTTGAGAAGTGATGGAAAGCAAGCCCTCCTTTGAAGGCTGTGCTTGTGAAGTTGGGTCAAGAATTTGTGTTTACTGAAGTTCATAAAGAGTTTTTGAGGACCCTTGAGATACAGTATACTTGTATGGTGCTTTACATTGCCCCCTTTGAGGGCCTGTTATAAGGGATTAATCTCTCAGATTCTCATGATCTAGGAAAATCAGACAGTGATCACTGTTTTGCTGAAGTACGTGACATTTCAGCTGAGTGCCATACTACTCCCCTAAAACAGGATTATGCTTACAGGATTGTGCCTGATCCCAGCTATGAAATCTGCCTTTTCCCCCTGTCTTTTGGAAGGTGATCAGCTTCATGTAGGTCACTTAAAATCAATTTTTGGGTGGTAGTTTTTGCCTTAGGGAGATGGCTGGAGTTTTGTGTGACAGAATTGTTAACCATACTTGTATTTTCCATGCCGTGCGATTGAGAGAGCTTGTGCTGCATGAGCTCAGTTGTCTGAGCCTGCTATTCATCAGTGTTACGTACTGCAAAATCTGCCACTTCAGTGCTGCTTATCTGTGCAAATGTTGTGGAGGAGTTGTGGAAACAAGGTCCTGGAAGTCTCATGGGGTCTTGCAGCAGCCAGGACGCACAGAAAGTGGGAAAGGGAAGAAAGGTGATTATTAGAGCATGCGGGTGAGATGGGGATGTCAGGGATGCGAGGGTGCTCCGGTGCCAAAATACTGAGTTGCTGGACGGACTACTTAGTCCTTCAAAGGAAAGTCCAGGCATTTAATCCTCATAGCTTCTCCGTGGGGTAGGTAAGTCAAGCTGGAAGGATGCAAGAGTTCACGGAACTGATGTTTTAGAGCTGTGTAAGCAAGATTATTCTTTTAAAAGATATTTGAAGTAAAATAATGTTCTATGCCGTGGAAACTGTACTCATAATAAAAAGAACAAACAGGGAAATAGTTATGTGTTTTGGGAAGTTTTTAAAATTATGTGTGCATCTGAAGTATTCTTTAACACTGTGAACTACTAGAATAACAAAGCAGCATAAGTGTATCTAGTGCTCTGAATATTTTTTGTAGCATATTTACAATTGCATTTATTTTCCTTTTTCCAGTGATTCATCATGTTACTGATTCTAGTTTTTATGTTTTCCTATTCTTTTGTTTTTTCTTTTGCCTCCCCTAAGTCTTCTTCCTCCAATCCCTTATTCTCTGTATTGCAAAGAAAATCCTCAAATAAAAATCCAAACCAGGACAGGAAAATAACAGGAGTTGTGTACAATGTGAAGCTAGTTTCATTTCAAGCTTATCAAATAGCTGTTTATGGCTAAGAATGAAAATGCTCTGAGAAACTGGTACATCCTTTCAAGATCTCTAGCAAACTTGTTGATTTAAATCTTTTTTTTTTTATCTTTTAATGCTGTTCACTGCTTTATCAGGACACTGCTTTTTTGTCCTTGGCTTTCAGTCTCCTATTCCCTACTAATAGCTGTGTAATGCCTTTAGACTGGGAGATATTGTTAGGAGAAGCCATGCTGGAAAACATTGGTCTTACATTTAATTTTTAACCTCATGATTCTTAAGTGCTTTTACATTTTAACAGTTCACTGACTTTATTTTATATATGTGTAAAGAATGTGGAATTTAATTAGTGCTTGATTGGTGGACGTTTTTTCCTTTTTTTATGTCTAAGTGGTCAAAACCCACATCTTTTTAAAAAATTGTGTGCCGGTTTTGTACTTTATGCTGTAGCTTCCTAGTTAGTAGCTGTAACTTTCCCTTTGACATTCTTCTGTCATAGTGTTTAGCAGAGAATGGAGACATTTTAATCTTCAGGATTCAGATTTCCTACAAAAGAATGAATGCAAAAGTGGTGTCTCTCTCTCTCCAAATGAATAGAAGCATTCAAGGAATAAGCAGAATCAATGACACCAATGAAAGGAACAGTGAATTCATCATTGACATACTGAACTATTTAAAGTTATTTCATCAGGTTTGCATTTAGGAATGAATGGCTTTTTTTATTTCCTAAGAAAGAGTATTGACTACAACAGTGAATAATACACTCAATTACAGTCGTTACTATAAATGCTGAAATGAGATATTACTGTAAGCTTGACAAATATGGCATGTAGTAGAAAGAGAAGGTTTGTGGTGTGGCTCGTGACCAGTGAATAGCAAAAAGTTTTCAAAGATCAGCTCTGTTCCTTGAACTACATTTAGTTCTCATGAGTCACTTGCTAAATCATGAACTTTTTGGAGGCAAAACATAATTTGCCTGCTAGAAGCAGAGCAGAACTTGATGTGAATATATTGGAGGATATCCTAAAGCAGACTCCCTGGAGATGGCCCAGTAAAATGCTTTTTTCTACGTTTTTGGGGGTATTCCAATTGTTTGATCTATATTCTGCCAGAAACCAAGTGTGCACTGTACTTCATAAGTTCTTGGCTTTACATCAGAATCTGTTGTAATTTTCTCATGATAGTGTATATTATTGCATTCTTGGCTGAAGGTTAGGAAGCTGCATTTAAACAGAGCGCTAAAATGCTAATCGTATTGCTAAGAGTTGACAGTTACTTGATATTTATACATCTCTTGATATTCAGACCTTCTCGATAGAAAAGTGCATCTGAATAAGTAAACCCATTGCTAGCAAGATTAGATATTGTATGTTGTGATTGAGATTGAGAAAACAATGCTAATCATTCATTTCTCTTGCAACTTCTAATGTTCTTTATCGACCTCAGATCTTTGACTGTTTTGAAGTACACAGGAGGAATAATTACTCCTAGTTTTGTAAGAACACACTGTATAGCACTCAAATTTTACAATAAGTTTAAATGCAGTGAAATTCCTGTTACCTTACCACCTTTTTTGTATATGGCTAAAGAATGGTTCATCAAGTGTGTGTGGGTTTTTTGGTGTGAATTTCGTAAATATATATGAAGCTTTCTCACTGCTATTTAGTTTTCTTGACATAGGAACATGCATTTAAATTTTCCCAGTGTTAATCAAATTTGACCATTTTAAAGTATGTCTTAAAAAAAAATACCAATTAGCAACTGTCATTTATTGTAGGTGCTACAAAATATATTAGAAACAGAAAATGAATATGCTAAGGAGCTACAAACAATGCTTTCAAACTACCTGCGACCGTTACAAGGCAGTGAAAAGTATGTGAGTTTGTTTTGGTGTTTTAAAATTAGATGTAAGAAATCCTATGTGTTGGGGAGGGCTTATGTGGTAAAAACTTCCATTCAATGTAAATATGTATTTTCTTGTGTGGACTGTGAGGTCCTTGAGGCAGGCCTTGCTTTTATTCAGTTTGCTTGCTGACTAAGACAGTCTGGTCCTTGATCTAAGAACCAGAAAGCATTTTCTTTTAAGGTTGTAGGTTTTATTAAAACACAATTAGTCAATAACTGCAAACCTAAACACTTTTCTTTGCCTTTGCTCCAGGTTAAATTCGGCAAATACTTCATACCTAATGGGAAACCTGGAAGAAATAAGTTCTTTCCAGCAAATGCTTGTACAGTCTTTAGAAGAATGCACCAAGTAAGTACGATGCATACCAGATACTCTGAAATTCTAACAAGCAAATTATTTTTTTTCCTTATTTTACTTGTGTATGTTGATGTTTGAGATACTGTTTGTCCATTTGTTTCACTCACTTTAAGCACAGTTACTGCAGCAATGCAGTAATGAATGTTTGGATAATGCATTGATTGCTCATGCGGATAGAAATTAGCCCTAGGATGCAATTGCAGAGGTAGGAATTTTAGCAGAGTTTGGGAACAATTTATTAATTTCCATGATGCAATTGCATACCAGTAAGCAGAGAAAGTGGTGGTTTTTGTTTTGGATGGATGACTTTTAGATCCTAAGAGATTATGAGGAGAAATGAAGGGTGCTTTGTGATGGGACAGTGGGGGAAGGGGAAAAAAATAACTGAATGAAGAACACTGTTTAAGAACCCTTATATTTGGTATTCTTGTCCTGAACAATGGTGCCTGTCAAAACGTGCTGGGAGACACAAGTAGGATAGGCAGGAAGAACAATCTGACTAGAAAATTCAGCCTCAACAGCTCTACCATACCATGTAAGGATAGAGAAGCACAGAAAAAATCAAGTGAAGACACCTGTACTCCTTCCATAGCTTGGGAGCACCAAGTAAGAAGATAACCATATCACATTTGAATTGTCCTAATTATTTTCTAGTGTTGAAACTCCACTGAAAACATAGTATCTGTTTCTAACCTTGGTTATGTCCTTTTCCTTGCCTGTGTTCTGGTTTTATCTGTCCACATGATGAGTGAGCTACGGCAACTTGCTAATCCAAATTTGCTTGTTTTCTGCCAAGTTAGTAATTTGAATTGCTATTGAGGGCTTAGATGTGTTTCAGTTTGCTGGGAGTACTTGGCAGTGAGAAGGAATGAAAGTCTTGGAGGAAAAAATGTCTCTTTTGAAAGGCAGGAGTGATCTTTATATGAGCACAGTGTGATGTGTTTGGGCCTCTCCCTCCTCTTTTCCTCTCAGCTGCCTTGTGAAGAGGAAATTGTCATAACAAAGTATAAACTGTGTCTCCATTAGGCAGTAATGTATGCCTGGGTCTGTTGCTCACTTTGGATCCTACATCCTCTTACTGCCTGGCTTCTCTCCCTGTAGGCAACTTAGACTAGAGAGAATGGAAAGGAGCATGGTGTAGTTAAGGTGACCATTCGGCAATGGAATAGAAACATTCTTGAAAGTATTTTTTCTTCCATACTGTGTTTGAGAAAGAAGGACAATCTTTCTGGCAAGTTAGACTTGATCAGTTAAGTGTCTAAACCCCTGAGAATGAGCATATGTTCAGGTACTTAAATGTTTCCTTTCTTTTCTTGTCACTCAACTTTCTGTTGTCTCATTCTTTTGTTAACATGATTTTGTTTCTGTGATTCAGAAGTTAGAGAAGTGAAGTACCTTGCATGAACAGACCATCATCTTTTGAAACTTTGCTTAAGATGATCTTAAAACCAGGAGTGGAAGAGCATATGTCTTCAAATGAATATTAATGCAAGCTTTATTTCAACTTGGTGTGTAGATTAACATGATCTAATAATGCAGCTTCAAGTTCAAAGCTTATTTAGAATTTCTTCTTTGATTTAAACTCTGTTAGAGTACCTTCTCATAATGTACTTTTTAATTTCTTCCTGGTAAGTCAAATATTGTTGTGTAATACATTAGGAACATAATGGATGCTAGTAGGTGGGCAGAGGAAGTGATGCCCTGGGGTTACTGCAAATATCTTCTGTTGTTTTCTTTTTATAAATACTTTGAGCTTTCCAAGTTATGTTTTCAGTTTAATTTTCATCATAGTATATTAACTTGAACATCCAGCTTCCTTCTGTTTATATATAATCCATCATAATTCCCATCATGTAGAAGAAAGCTTGCCCTGCTGCCTTGTTTTTTGTCATTTTGCCATGTTTTTTGGCTGATGAACCTGTTCTGTAAACTCAGAGGAGCTCCCAGGCTGAAAACAGATCTATAATTTTATTTTAGTTTTTGGCAGAGAGCTTATACTTCCGTCATTCAGGCACTTAATATTGCAGCATCTGGTGTGGTGTTTTTTCTAACTTGACCAAATGCTGGCATCCTGCCAGTTGTGCCGCCAGCCTATGTTGCTTGACCAATTCCTGACTTTGGGGATGAGAGTTTAGTGATTTTTGAATTCCACACCCTGCTTAAGTCAGTTTGTCAGTTGAGTTTTCTCTTAAAAAATCGTGGCACGTGCTTCAGTGACAGTAACTTTCCGGTGCTTTTCTTCTTGTCTTTATCACTTTGGCTTACCTAATCCTCATGCTGTTAAACACTACATTGTGTTTTTTTTTCAGAACACATAATGCTGTAGTGGGCTCTTTGTGTGTTTCAAAGGAACGAGTTGTTTGGACATGGTTTGATTTTAGTTGTGTGCCACCCTCCCCCCAACCTTGAAGCTCTTTTGTTGCCTTTCTGAAGGTTTGTCCTCTCTGGCCTCTGTTGCAGTATCACTGTGGTGCTTTTGTGGATTGCTCCATCTGTCACAGACCTGGAGCACTTCCTGTCTGCCTGCATAGATGATGGTGATGGTTGGACAGATTTGTTTGGGGTTACTTCTAGCTTTGTGACATTTCTTAATTTATCAAACAAAAGTAGCATGTGAAACAAGTCTTAACTAGTGTTGAGTGAGAATCTTCTGGCTGATCTGCTTCAAAAACACTTTTTTTGACTGATCATCTTCAAGTGCATTTGTTTTGATGGATGGAAAAGAGCAGTAACTGACAAGGCAGAGATGCTGCTGGAGTCTTTAGTTGCAAAAGACAGATTTCTAACAGTAGAACAGGGCAAGTGTGCTTCATTCTTCAGTCTCTTGAAGACAGAAAATGGCCTAGTGCTCTAGGTCTCTTTCCAGGTCTGTGATCCAGAGCCAAAGATCAGTTATGCAGTGGTTTGTGCAGCAAAGGAGTCTCTGGACTAACAAAGTCAGTGACTATCAGGTGATCTCTGGCCTGATTAGAATGATCTCTATTGGAAGTATTGCTCTTTGGGTTTGCTGTTTTTGTTGGCTGTTTGTTTTTTTTTTTGAGCAGGCGATTGAACACCTGTCTTCTGCTCAAAAAAATATTTCTTCCATTCACCTGGGCATAGAAGCTGTTGGTCTGTGGCTGTACTTCTCAGTAAGGGGGAATGGACATGACACACATGCTGGCTGGTGACACCAGCCTACATGGACTGCTCAGGTATAATCTCATTTGTAGTGAATTGAAGGTGTTGTTTGACTTTTGGTTGGTATCACAGGCTTATCTCCCTGACCCATAATATCTACAGCTGGGTTTAGTCTTCTCTCTTTCTCTTATGTCCTTGGTCTTGAAGTCACAGTAGGTGTTGGTTTTCTTCTTGTTCTGTGTTTGAGTGCAAGCAGATACTTCATGTTTCAGGACAATACTGGAATGGGAACTAAAGAAATGAAAACAAGGGGGAGAGATATCAGTGTGTGAGAGGGAGATTGCTTAAATGTAATTAAAAAATAATCAGTGTTTGAGGCTTGCTTTTGGAATGAAGATACAAATTAGGTCTGTTAAAGGTTTATCCCAGTGTCTTCCCATGCTTTTGGTTATTTTATCAACAGAAATAAAGCTATCAGTGTTAAGTGAATTTGAACAGTGTCTTCAGATCGCCTGAAACAAGTATGCAGATTAACTGATGTCTGATAGGTAAAGTGAATAGACAAATAGTGAAAGGTATGATTGTGAAGAGAGCATTTAAAACTGGACTGAAAGATTGTGAGTAAGTTGAGTACTACCTCCATTTGTGGAAGCAGTAGCTCAGAAAATTAACTGTCCTTATTTCAGTAACCCTGTTAGCAATGAAGCCACAGGTTGTACTCTTAGTCTTACATTTCTTCACAAGCTGCATTCCTTGAAGTCATTAATCACAATTATTCCTTAATTTTTGCAGTCCTTTTTGTCCTGGATCTTCTCTGCTATCAGCTTTTAAATTCAAGACATTCTCTATACAGACCTCATGCAAACTTACCATTGAATGCTCTAGCTCCTTCAAGAGGCTGAGAGGGCAGGAAATTCTGCTCTTTATCTTTCTGTGTGATATGGGGTGGAGCAGAAAGTGCCACCCATGTAATGGAAAGTTTCCAGATTGTGGCAGCTTCTGCAGGTGTATGTCTGTATATTTGTAGGGATATAGATTGCTACATGACATTCTTATAGTAACCACACAGTCAAGTGAAATATAGAGATACTTGATGTTTTCCTTGCAAAAACAAAAAATGCAATTCTGATTACATTATTACCTACTTTTCTTTTAAAATTGCCTCTGTTGATCAGTGTTTAAATTTGTCTGTATTCATTGCAGTTCCCATGGCCTTTCCCATAGTGTTTTAATGTCGACTGACACCAAAACTAAGACGGATTTCCTCAGAACATGCAGGGTGTATGTAATGTCACTTGAATGTGTTGGCTGCCAGTCTCACTGCAGTCCTGTTCTGAACTCTGGTTTTGATGGAAATCTTAAAATAAGTGTTGATTGAGTAACAAGGGAATTTCTTACTTTCTTTTACTCAAATTATCCTGCAGTGGGAACCCATTTGAAGTCTAGAGAAACAGAATCAATAGCTATCAGGTGTGACTTCAACAAGAAGATAATCTGTTAGTTAGATTTAGTTGATGCCTCTAGCATATGTAGAACAGCAGAAACTTTTTTTGTGGTTCTTTAATTCTGGAGGTGAAGTTAAAATACATCTTGAGCCTTCTTATAATGGAAGTGATTATTTGTATATGTATCAATATAATGTGATTCCTTTTAAATTAAAATATCAAATCAGAAAAAATCTTGAGATGACAACTTCATTGTAAAGTAACTATGCTCTTTACTGAGCACATTGGTTGCTAAAAAGCTTATATAATGCAGTGATAGACTTCCCCCGAAAGCTGTTAAAGGAGATATAAATAATTAATTGTTCCTCTAAAAATTGTAGAATATTTGTAATTACTGCGTGGATTAGAAAAGTCAAAGGGCATGAGTTTCCAGCCCTTCAAAGTCTGTTAATTATCTTAATTCAACAAAGAATGTGCAGTATAAAGTTGCAGCACATGTGCAGCATGTACAAGAGAATAATGTCAGTCTTTCATTCTGCTGAAAGAACAGCAGACTGAGAAGACCCAGATGTCTGCTTGGTGTGAACAGCCATAATTCATTCTCCCCTCCCCTGGCACTAGAGTATGAAAAGGCAATTTAGCCACTTTCATGGGGCCTCTTTACTGTTTAATACTGAGTTATATGCCTTGAGTATGTCTTTGGAGTTTAAGATTTTTACTGCATCTACTATTTGAACAATGTAGTATTAGCTCATGCTTAAAATTTATTAAAGGAGACCAGCTGCTAGGCAGGAAGTGCTGCTTGGAAGGCTGTAAGGATAGCATAACCAAGGTGTTCTGGGGAATGCCCCTGGTTTTTCCCTAAATGCCTGCAAAAGCAGCCACTCTATTGATTTCAGCATTGAAACTTCTTGAAAGAGAAATAAAGATGCAGGCAATAAAATACAGGTCCTAGCCTTTAATGGAAGGAGCACTGATAATGTGATTAGAATATAACTGGCATGATGGACAAACTGGGGATTCAGCTGTAATTTTTCTGGATGTCTGTAATGAATGTTGTTGTCAAATAAGGAAGCGTGTTTCCCCTGTTTTGCATTTTGATCACCTGTACAGTCAATTTTGAATCAATACAGGCTAGATCTTACAGCACTGTACAGAAGAACTGTATAGCTTAGCAGGAGACAGATTTCTAATTTTGAAACTTGGGGGAGTATTGCTTGGGATCATCATCATGGAAGAACTTTGATTTTTAACTACTGTGAGAACTCAAGGAAAGCAACAAGAGGACTGCGTTTGAGCAGGATGGGAACATCCCCCATCTGCAAGAGCTGCTATCCTGTAAGTTTTACTGATTCTTTTCTACTGGAGTCCACTGGAGCATCAGAAAGCAGTCCTGAGGAAAAGGAATTGGACTGCTGGTTGATGAGAAGCTCAATGTGAGCCAGCAATGTGCACTTGCAGTCCAGAAAGCCAACCATGTCCTGGGCTGCATCAAAAGACACCTGACCTGAGGGATTTGATTCTCCTTCTCTACTCCACTCTTGTGAGACCCCACCTGGAGTACTGCATCCAATTCTGGAGTCCCCAGCACAGGAAGGACATGGAGCTGTTGGAGCAAGTCCAGAGGATGGACAAAAAAGATCAGACACCTCTCCTATGAAGACAGGCTGAGACACTTGGGGCTCTTCAGCCTGGAAAAGAGAAGGTTCTGGAAAGATGTGATAGCAGCCTTCCAATGCCTGAAAGGGTCTACAGGAAAGCTGGAGATGGGCTTTTCACAAGGGCAAATAGTGATAGGACAAGAAGTAATGGCTTTAAGCTGAAAGAGGGTACATTTAGACTAGATATTAGGAAGAAGTTCTCTAGTGTGAGGGTGTTGAGGCTGAAACAGGTTGCCCAGAGAAGTTGTGGCTGCTCCCTTGCTGGAAGTGTTCAAGGGCAGGTTGGATGGGGCTTTGAGCAACCTGGTCTAGTGGGAGGTGTCCCTGCCTGTGCAGGGAGGTTGGAACTAGATGGTCTTCAAGGTAGATCCCTTCCGATGCAAAACATTCTATGATTTTTATTATCTCTCTCTTTTTCAGAGGGAATATGTTAAGTATTGATGTTTAGAGACATAATGCATATGCTCACAACAATTAGAGAAAATCTTGGTTTCCTTTTAAAAAAATGTTTATTTTAATATAAGCAATATTCTTCCAGAGAGTTGCTGGAACCAATGGAGTTTCATAAGCATGAAATCCTGTGTCTGTGCTAATAGTATGTATGTTGAGTACTTACTGAGAGTTCACCTATCTTTAGAGCAATGTGGAAAAATGGTTTTAAGAGTAGTTAAATGGATGTTAATAACACCAAAATCCACTCTTTGTCTCATCTTGCAAACAGGCTGAAGCAAAGACTTGGCATATTTATTTTAGGAGATGCAATCTTTATGCAAGCAGAGGACATATATGGAGAAATTGAAAAGTTTCATCTCTTTGCACATGTTGCCCAATAGGTTTAGACAAGGCATTGGGATGAGCTTGTAGTCTGAGATTTGACATAGTGTACATGTGTCAGTAGTAAACTGTTGAAACAGATAGGTATGTTAACTGAAAATCTAGTAACTTGAAGATGCTAATTCCCACTAATTCTTGAAAAAGTTTTGCTAGATGACCATCTTACAGGTATATACCATACTCTGCCTATACTGTGGTGGCATATTTAGACCTGGCAGTTACGGGATTGAAGCTGTAAAGAAGGAAAAGTGTTGCCTGCTGGTCAGTGACCATAGAAATCTTTCTGTTGATTTTCTTTAAAAATCAAAGCACAGGAACAAAACCAAGCAAAACCCCAGTATACACTGCTTTTCCAGGCTTTAATTTGTTTCTGTCTGATTCATGTTACAGTAATTTCATCTTTATTACTCTGGTTCTAGGTTGCCTGAAGCTCAGCAGAGGGTTGGAGGATGTTTTCTAAATTTGATGCCACAAATGAAGAGCTTATACCTTGCATACTGTGCCAACCATCCGTCAGCAGTAAATGTTCTCACAGAACACAGGTACGTTTGCTTTATCGTCTTTTAAGTTGGATACAAAAAAATTGCATAGAATACATCTGTGTTGTAAAGCTGTGATGTCTCTTGACACACATTTGGCCTAGTAGAGCTTGTTTAAGGAAAAAAAGTAGTATATCTTTTTTAAAAAGAGAAAAAAACTCACAACACAAAGCTGTTTTGTGTGATAAGGATCAGCCTGTCGCTGTTGTCCGTGTGTTATCAACTATTTGAAAGAGTTTTCTCTTACAAAGAAATCATACTGGACTGAATACATAAAACAAACTATACTGATTGCCATCTTTGTTTTTTAAATGTTGAGATCAAAGCAACTTTGTGAAATTATGGCATAATTGACATGATGACTGGTAGGCTGTTTAAAACAGTTGGCAAATCGTAACTTAGCCCTGTAAAAGCTTGGATGTACGTATTGAGATTTATAATGGTGTATCCTTGGTGATATGAAAGGAGTGTTAGTTTTTCAAGTTTACAAAATTAGAATTTTCTGTGTGTAAGAAGTGGAATGCTGAGTTGACATGATGTAAGTTATTCAGCATTGAGACAGACCTTGAATTTGCATAGAAGATGCCTTGTATCACATTGAGGGAAGGTTGAGGCCAGAATTTGATTAAAGAAGTCTGCTTTCACCAACCTTTCCTATGTCTTGTCCTCATGAACGTGTCTTTCTGCAGCTGTTAGTTTGGGGCTATTTATGTTTGTTTGTGGTGCAAGAGAGAACCATGACCTTCTTTTGAAGGTTAGAACAAATTCTAGCTGGCTATCTTTTTTTTTGCTTGCCCTCACCCACCCCTGTGATTTTTTTGTCTTGTGATGGACCCAAGTAAACATTTCAAATACTCTTAACTCTTACTAAACAAAGAGGAGCATAATTGAGTTGTTTTCTATAGGTAGCTTCTTCTAAAAGAACTCACATTTTGTTTTAACAGCAACAACATCTGGCACATTTGTGAGCTTTACTCATAATAGTATAAATGAAAAAACATTCTAGTTACCAAATATGATAAACTATGACTTATGTTAGTAAGACATGTAGCTGTGTTCCACTTTGAAAAATCAAGCTGCAAATTCACTCTGCAGTTTAGGCAGAAAGTGTTTCTTATTTGTAAGAAGGAATGATGAATTACAATGAAACAAGACTCAATATGTTTAAAAACCACTGATGAAGCCCCTTAGTGAAATGTCCTACTTCTAGTACCATTTTCTGTAAATAGTAAAATATTTAGGTGATCCATGTCCATGAGGGTTTTAATACTTAAAGGCTTTTTTGTTTGTGACTTTATGCTTTTCCCATACAATGGTCTGGGTTTAATCTGTAGATGGAAGATACCAAGTGATAGCAAAGTGATCATCTGCATTTCTTAAGATTTGGAGATATTTATAAAGGAATGTCCTAACTTACAGAACTCTTGGAAAACAGAAGGAATAGCTATGTCTTAGAAACCATAATAGAAATGTGAGAAAGGAAGACTATTTGTTCTGCAGGTGGAGAATAGTAGCCTTTTTTCTCTTTTGTTGCTTTGGGTATAGATTGCCCTAAGGAAAAATAAGCTTCTGGTCTCTAAAGTCAGCTTGATATCAAATCTTGAAGTAAATTTAAGTATCATAGAGTGGGTAAGTACTTTGGATATGAAAGTAGATTCAAAGTGGTTGTATCGTTGATAAGAGAGAGCTCAATTTGAGGTAAGCTGTGATGTTTCTGTTCAATGCTATTGCGTTGCCAGGCATGAGTCAACAGAAGTTGAAATTTTTATTACCCCTATTTTATTATTCTAAGCCCTTTATTTTTGTTGAACACCATTGACTTAAAAATTCTGCTTGAGACAGCTGCCATGAAGCAATCAGAAAGTGACTAAGCATTTCTGAACCTCTTCTCAGAATGCCAGAAAGCTTGTAATTACATTATTTTAAAGGCAGGGGAAAAAAGATTTCTCTGCTGAGGATAATGAACTGACTGAAGACATGAAGAAAGGGGAAATACTCAGAACTATCTCCTTGTCTGTTTATTTGAGATGTTTTTATTGTGTAAAAGCTTCCTTAGTAACCATTACTGTAGAAATTACTGTGAGGTTTGAGGATAGTCATGACTGTAATAATAATAAAACAAATCCACTGCAATGCATACTAGGTTATTATTGAACTGGAATTTTTTAGAGATGTCAAAGATTGAGGTCTAGGACTTCAGAGTCCAAAGTAATGATTTGTTGGCTGTCAAATGCATTATACGTGTTTTAATACCACAAAAAATATGGCAGGGAAATAAATGTTTGCTGGATTTTTGGATTTCAATATCATGTTTGTAACATCTGTGCTATTCAGTAAGGTTTTAGAAAGAAGAAAAAGGAACAGTCTGGAGTAGTTTGATTTGGAACATCAATTCTTACTGTCTACAGCAGATTATTTCTTGAAGAGAACTTCATAAAGTTGAACACATTTGAAGTCAGATTCTTATATAACAAAATTAGTGTTTTCCCAAGTTTTTTTAAGTTCACTTGCTTTTGATGGGAACTGTACAAACAAAAAAGAAACAGAAAAAAATATCCCAGGTGATTGCTCTAGGTGAAATTTCAGAAACTTTACCTCTATTTTTTTTAGTAGTATAAACCATACTAACTTTATTACTGTGTTTTTACTGTCACTGACTAGAAACAGCTTAAAAGAAGTTGGCTTATCATTTTTAAGCATTAATTGCATTGTTAAACCACTTGGATCATCAACATTGGAAGCAGTAATACAGTTTGGAATATGACACATATTGAGGTTTTTATATGTAATTTTCTGAACTATCAAGGATGTTCTTCCAGCAGTGTTGTAATACCTGTTAAAATGTTATTGGCATCTGGTAAAGACTGTATGGGTGCATTTGAATAGATAAATCCTGATTATATTAACTTACTCAATTATTTTGAACTTCTAATTAAAAACTTTTTAACAAAAACCCTTTTCTTTTGGGGGGGTTGGACTAGGTGATTTTTCAAGGTCCCTTCCAACCCCTAACATTTTGTGTTCTCTGAGCAGCATTTTTGTGCAGTCAATTCTAAATAGCAGTACTTGGGATGGGGCTGGATATTTAAAAGGTGCATGCAACTGGAATGTGAGGTCTTGATGGGGTTTTTTGTTTGTTTTTGTTGGTGTTGGATTTTTTTTGTGGGTTTTGTTTGTTCATTGTGGTGGTTTTTTTTAAATGCCATTCAGCATGAATGCCAGCCTTTGTTTCCTCTTTGTTACCTTTGTCATTTGCTTCATGATCATATGTAGCAGCACCACAGGTGCTTTTATTCAGTTAGTACAGGATAAGGGGATGTGTGCATGTGTAAGCTTAAATACATGCATGTTTATATAAATACAGTCAGGGATAGAGGGGTTTAATTCTATTAATGATTTTTCATGTTCAAATCTTCAAAGCCACAAACATTTTTTTCCATAAGTTAAGACATTTCAATAGTTTAACTATTAATTATTTAGAGACATGAGTGATGAAAATATGCAGAAATGTGAATAAAACCTAATACAGCCCTTATACAGGAGTTCAGGTTCCAGAGTTGCATATTTCTGAGGTTGTACTTACCATTTCTTTTAAATTTGGAAGAGATTCTCTTCTTGGTTCCACTTGCAGCACAGTAAGTTTTATCCAGGTGTTGAAATTGGTACTCAAACTCATTTCCAGTTTTGTATAGAGTTTAAATTTGGTAACTACTTTTAGTCTCAGCAGTTGTTCCAGAGCCATTACATATTTTTTCCAGAATTAAAATTCTGTCTGTTTAATGAATCAGGATTTTTTAAGAATGAAGTATTTTTTTCCTTAGGTCATTTGTTGTGTAAGGTAATTACAAGTATTAAGCCACTGGCTAGAACTGAGGAGGTGGAGCTCATCTCTGAGTACATCTGTGAGTACTGGCTCTTGCAGAGATCAGTGCTTTGCATATTTCCACCGGTGCCTCTTAGCTTGTTCTCCTTGTTCCCTTCTTTCATTGAGGCTATAGCATCACTATACGTGATCCCTGTTTTACTTGATGCTGTAACAGTCATACCTTTCACTGCATTGTATGAAGCTTCGGTTCCTAATATCCCTTTGCTTTCTTGATAATCTCAGTTTAAGGGCAGGTATTATTTTCTGTAGGAAATTTTGCTGACTGGTTGAGCAGGACTGCCTCGAGGCTGTAGTTTGTAGTCAAAGTAGCATCATTGATAGCTGTGTCTGTTTCTGATCATAGATATATTTACCTTCCAGTAAGAGAAGAAACAGGATGAGCAACTGCTAAGGTGTGAAAGAATGAATTTCCCTCAAATAAATTTAAAAAAACACTGGATACAAAGTAAAGAGATGGATAATTGCAGTGGAGTCCCAGGAACATGGGATGTTGCCTACCTGGGAAAGATCACAAGCCACAAGGTTCAGTGCAAGGGGAAACTCCAGCAAAGAAAAAGAGGAGGCAGAAGCTAGGACTGAGACTTTGTGGACAGCACACAAAATGACAGATATTTGCGTATAGAACTTGCTGAAGTGTGGGTAGCATAATGGAAAAAAAAAAGTCTTAACAGGTCACACTAATCAGTGGACATTAGATGTTTCTGAAGAAATATGGGCAGTATGGACAATGTAGTCAGCATTAAGGATGTAGTTATTGGGGGGATGTTTAAGCTCTTTTACTTTGTTTGAACAACACCATGTATATTTTAAAACAAAATGGAAGGAAAATGTTTCTGAAAGAAAATTTAATTTGATGAAAATTTAATTTGATGAAAAATGAGTAATATACACCTGCTTCTTTGTGTGTGTGTGGTGTTTTTTTTTAAGTCTTGCAAAGTGGCAAGTATTGAGGCAGTCCTCAGCTGGAAGAAAGGTCTTCACAAATCTTGGTTGAAAGATTAAATTTGTTAGATTCTTCTGTTCTGTTAGATAGCATGGCCTAAGCATATTCTGCACTTGCATCACAGACCTTGCAGTCTGGATAAAATTTGTGGAGCTGAAACACCACAATTACTCT